TTATTCCCAAGAGCTCCTGTATATCTAACTTCTCATAGTCAGAAGAAATACTTCATTTTAATTCCTCAGAATAAAATGCAGCCAACAACCAGACAAGTAAACACGGTCTGGTGTGATAAGATTCATTTCAAACCGAAAATTATGTAATGCACGCGTTGCCTCGGCAGCGCGCGAGCCGCTCGTTCACACAAACAGTATCGAGAGCGGAGCACTTAACAGCGGGTAAAGCACAATCAGCCCCCTCTCTTTTTCCCGAGAGCTGACTGCGCGAGCTCCGCTCCACAGTAAAGCTGCTCATTATAATATTAGGCATAATATGCTTGTGCAACTGGCACCCTCCATATCAACTTCCTCGGAGGAAGACAGGCGGAGCACACACAGAGCGCTTGCTGAATGAAAAAAAGCTGACGCCGGTTCCACCGCACCTGCTTTTATAGCTTCCTGGTCGCAACGTCACCCGCCCATGAAGTCTCGCCCATCTACTGGACTGATTTCTTATGTGATTCAGAGCATGGTCACGCTGGAGGCATTCCCAAAGCGTTTTCTGACGCAGCTCGAGTTCCTGAAATTAATAAACACTGAACTGACTCAAGCTGAATAATGACACTACTGTCTTCAGTAGAGCTTATTACCACTGAACTGAACTGGTTTCATAATGAATTAACTTTACACAGTTATTAAACTGAACTGAACCAACATTGAACTGACTGGAGCTGAATAATGACACTATTGTCTTGCTACAACTGATTAGCAGAATTTTGGATCAACCTCATTTTTAAAGTTTGCATCATTGATTCTGTTACTTTCCTGTTTGATTCTCTGAAGCTGATTTGAAACATCTCTACTGTATAAAGCATATATATATATATATATATATATATAAGTTGACTTCACTTGAATATCACACCAAAATGGAATGTTTCCTGATGGACTAGATCTGAGGACAGAAAATATATACAGTAATAATGTTATTTTTCCCTACCAGACTTCGTTCAACTCCACTGCATTTTCTTAACATCAACAGTTTGAATATTACCAAGGTCCTGTAACTCATTGTTTTAATCACTGGTTATTTCTAAAATGTGTAAGATCTGGGTTTCATGCTTACTTGCAATATGTTAACAACTTTGAAATGTTCCTTCCAACTTTTCAAACTTCTGCCCTGCTTGAGTCTACAACAATGTGCAAAAGAAATTTGTGAATTAGCAATATATAGTAGGTCAATATTTTACATCAGCCCTTCATTAGAAGTCCCAGACCAGACTTGGCTTTTGTCCAGAATATTATGCAACACAACAACACAATAAAAGACAGGCAGATAACGTTCTAGGTTAAAAAAATCTACTTGGTCCTCCTAAGAACAGATACTGCAAAGGACTTGCAGCCAGTGAAGATTTTGCTTAATCCAGAAAACAGTGAGTACACATTTAATTTAATATTTAAGTGTTCGTAGTAATTAGGGAAAAAAGAGACTGGTCATGCATATGAATTAACACAGGCTAGTTCCGGTCTATTGTTATTATGTAACGGTTTACCGGTTTAACTCTTCGTTGTACGTTTTTTTTAATAATGTTAATTGTTGAACTTTAAAGTAATGTCATGGCTATAATGAACACTGACGTTTGTTCTATATTGTTTGGTCAAGTTAAAGTGCTAGATTTGACTGATTCACGGTCGCACTAATCAATGAATTGAATGGACCCTTTGTGTAAAGTTAAACTAAAGTACGATATAACTAGTGCGTTTAGCTAATAGGGCTACTGCCCTACAAAGGCGAACCACAGCAACTGCTTATACAGTTAAACTGAAAAAGTGACTCTGGATCGTTTTTTAATTATTTTTCACAAAGTTGAGGGAAAAGCCGTCTGTCACAGGAAAGATCGGTGAGAGACCTAATTTAATTTGTTTTATCAACCCAGCGCTTTGCCTTTGCAAGATATTGTACGGTAAGCACGTGCCGTTTCTAGACCATTGACAATACGCTGACAGTCCAGTTTCCATATGACTGGAGCACAGTTACAAATGTCCTTATCGTTTACCAAAGTCCACCAGTATTTTCTCAATGTCATATTCTTGTTTTCTTTTTAATTTGTTGATCAATACAGCGCCACTCTCAGTTTCTGTTTCGTTTTACAGTCCAGCTAATTTGAATAGAACTAAAATATGCCGCTGCATAGGCTTTTTCATCTGGCAAATATCTATATAGTGTTATATCAGGCAAATGTGTATATGTTATGTTTAAGTACAAAAAGTAAAACTTACTGGTCGGGCTCGAGTCAAGATATGGTCATTGGCGCACATAAACTCGTGTAAGCCTATTTACCATGACGATAATAACACGCATAACAAAAATCACATAAATATCTTGTAAGTGACTTACCAGCATTTTCCGCTAAAATGGCAAAGAACACTGTAAAATATTGTCATTTCTAGCGGGTTTCTAGTGGTTTGTCTGTTTTCTGAACACAGTCTAAGCAGTAGCCTATTAAAAAGCATAACTTTAAAAGATAAAAAAAGAATGAGGGAGAAATGAATTTTGAATAATTTGCCACAATTATGTGAATATTAAGTAATCTAATCATTAAAAAAGTAACTCTAGTCTGCTGCTGCTATAATTGTGAAGTGAAAATTTTATTTCCTTCAAACTGTAGAAGTAGCTAAAGCATTCAGAATCTTTGTGCATGTTTACTTTCTTTTTAATAACATTTATGGTTGTGACAGCTTTATTGTAGAAACTATAAAAACAACAGCATATTGGTCAAGACCCTGGTTACTATGGTACATTTTTGTAGTGGTCTTCATTTAGTCATGGCATGCTTCTGGTTAGCAAAACATATGAAAGTTGTTTCAGGTAAACCAAATGGAATTGCTCCTTTCATCTCTCAAGCCCTCACTTTAATGGAGCTTGAGTAAACATGACAGGAGCCTGAAAACCTGCTTCCTGTAAACAACCCCAGACACCCTTCTCATTGAGATGAGCTGTGAAAGTTGCATTTACCCTCTCTGTCAGTGTTCATCTGAATAAATTACACAGCTCAGTACAGTCCAAGGGCAATATATTAAAATGTGCTAGCTCTCAGTAATATCCTCCCTCCTGACAGCACACGCACATTTGTTTCCTCGGGGCTAGAGGAAGACCGAGGATGAAGACTGTGATTGTGGTGCATGGTGGAGCTTGGGCCATCCCAGACATGTTAGCCAAAGCATCCGTGGCTGGAGTCAAGAATGCTGCGTGGGCAGGCGATGCTGTTCTTAAGAATGGTGGGAGTGCAATTGACGCTGTAGAAAAAGCTGTGAGGTCTTTGGAAGATGACCCAACTTTTGATGCAGGTATAATACATATACAGTATATACTGATATTATTTATTTTTAATATTTTTATATACATTTTTGCTCTTTGACCTTGACTTTTGCTATTAAAGATTTAAAGCAGAGGAAGTGCAGATTCAGTAGTTCATCTAAGCTCTGAGTGGGACAGTATTTCAGCTCACACCCATGACACTTTGTTAATGACCATCTTGAGAGTAAGGTGAGAGGTTCTCAAATAATTATCAGATTACAAGGAGGAAAGCAGGGTAAAACAAGACACTTCATTAACACACCCGGCCTGTCGGTGCCAATCTCATTTGTGATGGCTAACTGCCACCATAAGCGAAATGGCTAATCCTCCTCATATCAGAGCTGCACATTCAGTGCCTCATCAGGATCATTTTATACACTGGGGAAGCCAGAGGCACAGACTGATCAATAGATGACTATGCAATCCTGTTTGGAGTTTTAAGAGGTAGACATCAGAGTGGATAACAGTCTGGAGTATGTCAGGGTGTCACAACAGAGATAAGAATGAGATATCTGTGTGAGTGTATTACTCCAGAACCTATATACACTGAAAAAAATTATGCTTCGGAACAACTTAAAAAAATACTCTAATTTGTTACAGCCAAATTAGTTTAGTTTTAATTAGTTTTTCTAAAATTATATTTATGGATTGGTTCAACCCTAACATTGAAGGTCTGTCTGTCTGTCTATCACTTTTTACGGGAAGTGTCATATGAAATGTGACATCTTTGTACACATGTGGACTTTCAGAATTGGAATTTTTCTTGCGTAGGTCATGGTGCAGTGCTGAATATTGATGGAGAGGTGGAGCTGGACAGTATCATCATGGATGGGGAAACACTTGCCACTGGAGCTGTGGCCTCTGTGAGAAACATCGCTAACCCTGTTAGTCTTGCTCGTGCTGTAATGGAAAAGGTATACTTTTCTTCTCAAATAGCTTCAGAATTATTATTTTTTTGGGAATAGAGTTCTCTCCGGTGAATATGTACCCCGTTTAATTCAAGCCATTTCTCGCTAAGCAAATATATAACTGAAGGGGATTTTTTTAATATAGGGGACGTGATACAGAAATTGAATTTCCGACAAAATTCTGTAAATTTTAGATATGACACTGCAATACATAAATCCAAATTCAACATCCTTTCTTCAATCATAAAGGCTTATTTAATTTCATTTTCCAATAAAGACTTGTGTGACTCAGTAATTTCCCATTGTAAGAGTCACATGGTTGCTATAAAATATGTCCAGTATAGATTTATATCTAAAACTGACATTCACACTGGATAAGGAAATGAGGAGAGACCTAGCTCTTGATACCTGTGCTTATCAAGGAGGACTATGTGGATCACTTTGAAGATTTATTGTAAAACCCAGAATTGGGTGGATATACCCATTTTTTAAATTCTTAGATTAAACGACCAAAAAAGCCATGGTATTGACTTCAAAGGTGAAATTATATGACACCTTAGATTCAGGATTTTCCCTTGCCTGCAAAGGTTTAGCTTGTCTTTATTTCCAGCTGCTTTGTAATGACAGGCTCAAAGGGAAATAAATGCTGGCTGATTTTCAGATTGATTTCAATCGGTGCTCTTTGTAATGACAAGCTGCGTTTACACTTGGCGTTAACATTCGATCACTGTGATCTGATCAAGCAGATCGGATCATCAGTCAATCAGGACACGGCGCGTTTACACTTGGCAACATCAGCTGACTTTTCGATCTGGATAACCAATCGGATCTGTATTTCCCGCGAAATATTTAAATAAGTCTGCGGTGCAACGTCGACCTGAAGTGGTGGGTTTTCTTTTGAAAACTATTTTCAGTCGCGGGAAATTTTACAAATCAAAAGTCTCACTAGCTCTCTGTTCTTCTGAGAGTTCGGGACAGAGGGGGCGGTGTTTTGCGTGATGTCGACCTGCGAATGCAGACACGATGGCTGGATTGCGTTTACGTTACACAGAGATCCGATCACAATGCGTCCTGGATACCTCTGGACCAGGACACGCTGATTGGATAACATTCCGATCAGAAGCGCGTTTACACTTGTCTTTTCAACGTGTATGTGGACAACATCCGGATACAGGTTGCGTGTAAACGCAGCCTAAGTTAGTTATCACAACAAAACCTGCATTTAAACAATATATTAAAGGCTTTTCAGCTAAATTAAAAAAAGTAAAATAATGAAACAAAAATTTGTGAATCTGCAACACAGTAGCATCAGTTCATCATGGCAAGATCGAAAGAGTCATTCAGTCTTACAATATCACATTACAACAACAACATAAAATCAAATCCTGCACATTCAATCCTGACCACATCAACAGGCATATTTTAACAGCAAGCAGCCTACATAAAAGAGATCTGCTCAAGATACCTTTATCTGTTATTTTAAGGGCAGTTCACATTTAGTTGTATTGAGGCCCATTGACACCAAGACCGATAACTATATAATGATTAGCATCCACAACATCAGCCTATAACGTTGTTTTTAAACAACTATAGTTATGTAATCTGCTGCTTTAAATGCTCAACCTCTTTAAATTGGGTGGATTCTGATTGGCTGTCAATGTTTTTATCTTTCTTCAGCTGGAAACAAACCATTCAGAAAGTGACTCCAACGATGTTGTTCTTCTCATTGTCGTTATAGCTGTGGTTTGGACTTCCTTATTCTCACAGAATAACAATTATTAAAACTTAATAGTTAAAATTAATGTTATAGTATATAATTCTGGGTGTGAATAGGCCTTTAGCAATGCACCTTTTTCTACAACGACGCCTGTATACAGTAACCTCTGTGATATTTGTCTGGAGGTAGAATTATTTTCTGTATGCCATTACACCATTAACTAACAGCATCAGGCTTAAAAAAATAACCACACACAGAAAAATAATTGTTAATATTTACATAGCCTTGGTCATAATCTCTCAGCTGCTGTTATATGAATGCAGTAGTAGATATATAATATATGTCAAAGACATTAACATTTTCCCTTTCACCAAAGTTCACCTTGCGAGGCATTGGACATGGAGGAAACAAAACCCAAAGAATACATGATAATTGATTAGTTGCAGCACCTGTCTTGACTGCCCCAAAAGACCTTGGCCTTACAGTGGATTGGCAGATCTATTTAATAGCCAGTATTAAAAATTCATCAAGTCTTGATCAATGCTGCGATCAAGCTTCACTGACCTCATGCTCTTGCTTTGCGATCTAAAATGCACAGTATTTGACAAAGAAATATGACATTAATAACCACGTTAATATTTAAAAGTTTCCTAAACCAGAGTTATGGTTTAATCCATTGAGATGTTGTACAGAAAGTCACACAGAGAAATAAAATTATAGACAGCAGAGTATTGTCTCAATAAATAATTGCAGTTCCACATGGAGATGTGGACAGTAAATATGAAAATAATTTCTTTTTGTTGGAGTGTTTATGTGGAAGATATAACACAGCACATCCAAGGGAATCAGAATGCAACAGATAGACTACTACTGATTTAGTCAGAACAAAGAACTAACCATGTAAGACATTTAACAATTTAAGGCTGTAAACCTGTCAAACAAGGCCTAAGGGCCCATCTCAATTTGCATCATCTGTATAAAGGCACTGCAATAAATTTGCTATAAAGATGTTTTGTAGACCAACCCTGAGGGTAATACGCCTTGGGTTCCCTCTGGAATATCAAATGGATTTTTACACTCAATTATACCGTAGTCAACTGAATTTTTCATTTATGAGTAAGGTCTGTGGTTGACATTACATGACAAGACTTTCAGGTTCTGTTCAGTAACAAAAATGTCATACTTAAAACATGACATTTTAAAGGGAAACCATAGCTTGAAACAAGCTAGTATGTAATCTGCTTGCTAAGTCGTGACATATCAAATACTGTTTCCGGGTTCAAGCTGTCTACTCTGTTTCAAGTGAGAATACTGTCTCAACAGCTGTTTATGAGAACAAACTTTTAGAAACTCATGATGTACACTACTGGCTCACGGCGTCCAAGACACCAATATTTTAACAACTGATGAAAAAAATAAATCACTGTCTGTTCGACTGAGATTTCAACATGAAAGTTAAGATCGTGATTTTTCTGTAGTGGTAGCACACCATTAGTGAATACTAGCACCGTTTCTTGTTTCCTTTTGCGATCTGAAGGAGCGTTTGGACCCGGGAACGGTGACACATGATGTCAGACTGGATAGAGTAAACATTTAGACTACTAATCATCTCTTTAAACCCTTTTTTGTGGTTTTTACTCAGACAGATCATGTCATGTTGACAGATAGAGGAGCGAGCATGTTTGCGGAGCGCATTGGTATTCCAGTAGCTGATGATTTAGTGACTGAGCTGGAACGTAAAGACTGGGAACAAAGCAGTAGCTATCCTGTCGGAGTCGAAAAATTCTTCAACACACAATGGTGGGTAATTTTGTCAATTTTGTGCTTTGAGATGTTTTTAATAGTTCCCGTTTTCTTGACATATTTCATTTCAGACACTGATTTTGACGACTGTACTTTTGAAGTAAATTGTCAACAGCATCTTTGGAAAGATATGTTTTGTGTGCTTGCAGGGAAAGCATTTGGTGTTGCTTGAATAATTTATCTTTCAACTATCATGAAAAAAAACTAAAGGATGAAAATCTAGAGTTTAAAAAGTGGCTCTTCTTGGCATTGAGGCAATGGGCTGAGAATGGCAGCATATTGACGTGCTGGCCTGCACAGAACTCAGGTCATTCCCTGAGGACTTAGGCAGTGCAGTTAGAGCTGTGTGGGCTCCAGCAAAGCAGCCTTACCTGCCACCTCCACTTCCCCAGGCTGAGTGTTGAGTAGTAGTGGAGTCAGGGCCATGGCAGGGTGTAACCTCAGCCCCCGAGGGAGTCTGTAAAAATAGTGCTGTGGAGGTGCTAAGTGACAGTTGGCTGAGCTACTGCCTTTCATCCCGCCCCGCTGTGGCTTCATTATTGATAGCCTCCCTCTGCTCGCCCTGTACTACCATCACTGGGCTTTTTAACACACAGGCCCTAGAACTCAATTACCCTCCACCTTTATTTAGGTGATTACATGGCCTACCTCTGCCCTTCTGGTCTGACCACGCTTTTATAATACAACAGTCACCGATGTGCCTGTACTTCCCATTCACAGCATATTGATCAAAACAGATTTAAGTATTGGATAAATCTCAGTCATGTAATAAATATGGATACCACTATTCAGGGTCAAAATGCAGTTTGAAAAAGTATGTATGAAAAAAATAGAATAGAGAGCAATGGTAGAGTTCAAAAAATGAAAATTCCATTCACTTTTTTCATTTCAATGAAAACTTGCCTATCCTAGACTTAATGTGTGCAACGAGGTTGTTAATCAATTATATATATCAAGCATAGCATTAGTTCTGGCAGGTCACGTCAGTCAAGCTCGCATCAGCTGACTCTTAACTAATCCACGTCTACCTATAGAAATTTGATGCCTATATTACTTCCTTATATAAGGTTCATTCAGTATTATTCAGCAGCTCGGGAGCTTATTACCCTCCTCCATCCCCAGCTCCTCCTTTCATCCACAGTCAGGACTTGACATTCAACATTCCTAGTTGAGTCCGATCCTTTTATCCCGAATTATGTTGTTACATTAAATTGTCATTAAGAACATTAATGATATCGGGGGTTATTGCTGCTCTCCCTGCTCTTATCAATGCTAGGCTCTGAGGTTTTGCCCAGAAAAGAACCATACTGCCAGTCCACACTGTATGTTAATTGTCAATCATATTTGACAATAGTGGTCCTGACAGAAATGCTTTTATTGAAGCCATCATTCTGCAATATTTAAAATTATTTATTTATTTTTAAATAATTGTGTTCAATGATGGAATTCCTGGTAAAAACTGCATTACCCATGATTCTGCAAAGAAATGTACACCACCAATAAGATAATTAAAACTGTCAAAATGCCCTAAAATAATTCTTTAACACCTGCCCACTTCCATAAAGCACTTAGAATGACATAATAGAGGCAGACTCCCTACACTTTTAAATACTTATATATTTGTATGTATAAGCATGTTTTGCAATAAATGTAAAACTTGCTTCTATATACACAATCAACATGTTTAAATCAAGAGTTATCTTTATCCATCATTTTTATTTTGTCATTTGCAATGCTTCATAGGATTGTAGTTATTTTCTTCATGGAAGCTAAGTATGCAGTCTTGTACCTTTCACATCAAAGTTCATAATGTTTTGATTCACCTCATAGCTAGTTCATGGTTTCTAACTCTTTAACAAAGACTTTTTAAAAATCCCATGGGAAAAAATGAATAGGCCTGAAAAATGAATCAGCCTACAAATGGCTTACTTGCTGCTGTCTATGAATATTAAGATAGAATAGGAAAACGATTTTTAATATTGAAAAACTGACACTAATACAGTAAATGGAAGCCCTTTTCTATCTCAGAATTTAAAAAAAATTTACTGTAACTTTATATATTTCATGCTATGTGACTTTAATTTGCTCAATTGCAACTTTGTTTGTCAAATTTCACAATGTGAATTTTTATTTCACAATGTGATTTTATGTTTTGCAATATGACTTCTTGGATATTTGAACTGTGGTTTTATAACTCACAATAGGACTTTTCAAATCACATTGTGACTGTATCTTAACAGCGTGACTGTCCCACAGTGTGTGACTTTTTTCGCATTTTAAACTTCATCTCACAATTACCATTTTTATTTTTGACTTTCAGGTAGAAACAAGCTTCCATATACATCTGCTTTAAATGCATACTGTCATTTAGTTTTTGCGATTAGTATGTAGAAAATACATTTACAACAAAAAGTTAAGACAACCACCTGTTCTTCTTAATGAGAACTCTAAACTTCTATTCCAATATCTGCACACTTCATTAGGCTGTTTATGGATGTGTGAAGATTTACTGCAAAACTCTGTGATCACTTTGAAGTGTGAAATACAGTCCACCGTCAAGCTGCTTTTAAAAGCTGTTTTCAACTAAACCGATGAGCAAGATCCAGGCATCGCCGGTGATTTAAAAGAGCAATCAAGCGCCTGCCAAAAATGATTGATGCCTCAAATCTGGAACCTGACAAGTGATTCTTCGCCAGCTGCTTCAGACAAATATTCTCCACGAGGACCACGTTTGCTCTCCCATTTCTGGGAGAATGACATGGAGGCTGTTTTCTTTAATTTCACCTTGAACCATTGTCCTCCGTGCCGCTTCAAACTCATAACACACGCTTGTTTTCCACAGCACTGCTGCCTTAATCAGAGTTTCATGGGATATGAAGCCTGTGAAATACTATGGTCTCTGTTCATCCCACATTCTGCTCTCTATTCTATTTCCTTTCAAGTGAACTGGCAGGGAAGACTGATGTGCGCATCATAAGAATTGTGATTTGTTTTTGTTTTTTTGTTTTTTTGAAGAACAATCCATACTTTTTCATGTGTGTCTACAGAAATATCACAACTGATACAACACTTTCCCTGCAATCTCTCTGAGTGTACTTTGCTAGACTAGCGGCTGTGATTCAGAGTGGCGAAGGGCACTTATTCTCGCTCTCTTGCTTTGTTGAAAGGCAGATGAAGATGAGTCCATTTCGAGTGTGCTGGCACTCTTAAAAGCATCTGTGAGGTTGTCATTAGCACCATCCCTTTCAAACATCACCAGAACAGTGCAACATGCATTTTTTTGGACTGAGAATCACATTGGAAACAAAAGTAATTGCACAGAGGCTATATTTGGAAGGGAGTTTGAGGCTTTTATCCAGTAGATTATGACTGCAGCGTATTAAGTTGAATTCCGGGGCAAAAGTCTGTCTGATGAAGAGGAACTAAGCTAGAAGCACATCTCTGAGTGTGATGAATAATAATTCTGCCTCTTCAAAGCACCTTTTGAAAATGCCATGTCTGAGACCATAAAATTACAGATCTGAGGGGAAAAAAAATCTCAGTGCTAATCTTTATTATTCAAGGTTATAGAACTTTTTTTTCCATAATTACAGGGGCCATGATACGGTCGGAGCAGTGGCTCTGGACTCTTTGGGTAATGTGGCGTGCGCTACATCCACCGGAGGAATCAGAAACAAAATGGTGGGAAGAGTCGGAGATTCTCCTATTATAGGTGAGTCGGATCAGAGATAGAGGACAGAGATAATCTCAGTGTCACACCAACATTCATTTTGAAGCAGTGTCTCGGTTGAATGAACCATTTCGGTTTGAAGGTGTCAGCTCTGATCAATACTCAATTGTCAGAGTGTTTTCTCCCGAGGTAACACACATTAACGTCTCATCCACTCTGCCTGTGCTGCTGTCTTTTCCTGTGCGATAAGGATCTGGTGGATATGCAGACAATAGAAGTGGCGCGGTCTCTTGTACTGGTCACGGAGAGTCTATTCTCAAAGTCACCTTAGCCAGATTAATCCTCTTTCAGATGGAGCAAGGTATGAGACTTTTACACTAATCCTGATGAGTGTGTGAGTGTGCATGCACACTCGTTTACATTTAAGGGGAACAAAAGTGTCCATATTTGCTTAATTAATTTTTGTTTTTTAATGGATTTATTTTTTTTTTTTTTTTTTTAAAAGTACCTTTCAAAACTGCCTTTCAAACGTTTGGAAGATTTTTTTAAACCAAATGAATACTTTCATACAGCAAGGATGCATGTGGCAAAGACATACTGTTACAAAAAAAAAAAATCAGTTTCAAATAAATGTGTTTTTAATCGTCTATTCATAAATGAATCCAAATGTGTCATGGTTTCCACAAAAATATCAAGTAGCACAACTGTTTTTAACATTGATAATAATAAGAAATGTTTCTTGAGCAGCAGATTAGCATATTAGAATGATTTCTGAAGGATCATGTGACACTGAAGACTGGAGTAATGACTGCTGAAAATGCAGTTTTGCCACCACAGGAATAAATTACATTTTAAAATATATTGGAAAAGAAAATAGTTATTTTAAATTGTAATATTTCACAATATTTTTTTACGTTCTTGTTAATTAAATAATTGCAGCCTTGGTGAACAAAAGACTTCTTTAAAATAATAAAAAAAAATAATATCAAAATCACACAGACCCCAGAACAGTATGTATTTGTTCATTTAGTTAGATGATGCATAAAATGACTGTTTTCTATAGATTTTTAGATTAACATTAATATTAATGTATAAGAGAACATGTATATTTTAGGTCCTTCACTATTTAATCATATTTGAATTGGTCCTGAAGTGTGATAAATGAATTTACAGCATAAATATCTCCATATCAAGACAGAGGTCATAAAAGCTGCATGCATTACACTTATATAAGAATGATACAAATTCAAATTAAAACAGGTGTAGGTGGAGTGTAGCATGTCATGCTGATGCCAATTATAATACTTACAATAAATATAATCCTTATTTTTCAAAGTCCGGTCAGGTTAATCAATATCACAGAATTACAAATTACATAAAAATACAATTATTCAATCAAAGCTAAATAAGATTTAATTTTCAGTATTTTCTTGTATATTTTGAATGAAAAATTATCATCACCCATTTGTTTTTTTCCCTGCTATGTCTTCCCCTTTGTTTGTGTTTTTACTCTTATGCAATTTGTGTTCATATTGTTTTGGCTTGCAAGGTCTCGATCATCTCTACCCCTATACCCTCACCCACATGTTGATATTATTATCAGATTTTGTATAACCAAGCAGAATGAATGTCAAACCGCACAAAAATCGGATGCTGCTGTTGCCAGTCATTTTAATTGGTGTGTGTGTGTGTGTGTGTGAGAGAGAGAGGCAAGAAGGATCGGATGTGCTGCCACAGTAGGCAGATGATAATGAGGAGTGTTTTTGTCTGAGGAAAGAGTGTGAAGGGTCAGCAGCCTATTGTTTGCTTTGGCATTCTGTGGCAGTGATGCTGCAAGCACAACCATTCTGTTTTTATATACCAGTTCATTGTTTTATCAATTATTGGGCTTGCCATTAGGGTCTCAACTATTTGTTTAACATTTGTGTATTGTTGATTAGTGTGATCAATTCATTTGGGGTTTTAAAAATATTTTTATTAACACTGCAAGTTATTGGTACCATTGGCACTACTTATAATATTAATAAATATGATGAACATAAAAGCTTTAATAGTTGGCTAGAGGCCCATGTGTCCCCAGTTAAAGCAAGAAAATGAATTCACTGCTCTGAAGAACAAGAAACAGGACACAAAGAGATGGATGAAAGAGAATTACAAATAGACATTACAACTAAACACAGTACGTCCGTATAGAAAAAAAGCAAACTCACAATGCAAATGTAATTAATAATAAAAATTCTAATGCTATTAAAAATTGGAAAAATGTAATATTGTTGCAGTGTTTGTCTTGTTGTTTTCTATGTTGGGCTACTAAGACTGCAATACTAAGACGGAATGAGAAAACCATGAGAGCAACATATATTGTTCACTGTGTGACCTGGAAAGGGTCACTAAGGACACATACACTGTAGGTGCAGTATTTCATCATACGGCACACAGAGATCAAATGCTCTTGATTTTTTTTCTGTTGTGCTGGAAAATACTAGAAAAATACAAGCACAATAGAAAATGTTGTGAAGTTGAATGAACATATGTACACTACTTTTTAAAAGTTTGGGGTTGGTAAGTTTTGTTTTTATGTTTTTGATGCTCACCAATCAAAAATACATTAAAACAGTGATGTTGTGAAATATTATTACAATTTAAAATTGGCCTACCTGTTTTCTCTGTTAAAATGATTTAAAAGATCATTTGTGAGGGCAAAGCTGAATTTTTAGCATCATTACTCCAGTCTTCAGTGTCACACGATCCTTCAGAAATCATTCTAATATGCTGATTTGCTGCTCCAGAAACATTTCTTATTACCAGTGTTGTGCTGTTTAATATTTTTGTGGAAACATTTGTGATTACTAGAAAGTTGAGAAGAACGGCATTTATTTGAACTAGATCTTTGGTAACAATTCTGTCACTTTTGAGCAATTTAATGCATCCTTGCTAAATAAACGTATTAAGGGCTGACAATGTGTTGCCATATTAATAGATGTTTACAGCCTTATTTAACCTTAAAGATTTTAGAATCCCTATCATTTTATTTATGCAGTTCACATTGTGCAACACTGACCGGAAATGCTTCTGACGAAGTACTGTAAAAATACATGGTCAACTGATGGCAGCCAGATAAACTGACTGCTAACGGTATCACATACTTGAGCGTTTCCTTTGTGAAATGCAGGGAAATCAGCCACAGCCGCCGCTGAAGCCTCACTTCAGTACATGGGAGAGAGAGTGAAGGGATGCGGAGGAGCTATTGTTGTGTCCTCCACAGGGGACTGGGCCGCCAGCTTCACCACACCACGCATGGCTTGGGCCTCCATTAAAGAGGACGTCCTGCACTACGGGTTAAATCCCAAAGAAGATTTCACAGAGAGGCTGAAATGATAACATTATACTTTAATTGTATTTTCATTCATTATTATGAATTTCTTAAATCTTTCAGCTAGTTAATTTATTTTGCTAGATTCTATCAGTTTCTTATGTGATTAACTGTATCCTTTATACAAATCTAAAAGTTATTGTTCATCAATAGTAAGCTGTTTCTCGTATAAAGAAAGAAAACAAATACTCCTCTCCACAGGTTCTGACAAGGTTAAACTAACAGTTAATGAATGATGATTAATTGATTCAAAAAATAAAAATGTTAAGAAGGTGAAAACATTGTACATTTTAGTAACTTTAGTAGCTAGATTACTGTACATACAATATATAATAACATTTATGCAGGTTGTCCCTACTGTTTCCTCAGTGAACAAACAATAGAAACACAATATGGTGTTAAGTGACTAAATGAAGAATTCTCAAAGAGTTCTGATAAGCTTAACGAATAATTACTGAATAATGATAAGAGTTATCATTAGTTAATGGCATCATTGTATGAAATGTATTCACAAATGACATCTGAATACGTCATAAACTGTATTCAGTAAGATAGGAAGACAGATGGAAAATATAACAAAATCAGCATATTAAATTAACCAAATACTGTACATTTGTTTTCATTACATTTGTGGAATTCAACATTATTAAAGATGAATCTTACCACTTCATGTCTTCAATCGCTTCATTTCAGGTTTTTATGTGAAGGCTAATTGGTGGATCTGGAGGATAAAATGATTGTTTCTTAAAAAAAAAAAAAAGATCACAATGTTCCTGCTGATTTGTGAAAAATATCCTTGATTTTTTTGTTTGCTTCTTTTAGTTTGTGAATACAGCAGTGATGATATTATAAAATGGAAATGAGGGAACACTATTAAAATATTCCAGCCGTGGGAATTGATGGATGAATAATTATGTCCTGAAAGTTTAATTCTTTATTAGGAAAAGAAAAGTTTTCGCAACTGCTCCTAGTTAGTGTCTCCTTAGTTGCCCTCCTCTCAATTATTTATTTCATTTCGTTTCAAATTAAGGACAGGCTGTGTACTGTATATGAAGTCAAATATGCTATACAGAGTATAAGTTCACACACTTTTAACAATTAAAAATTGTCAAAAGCTTCTAAGAATTGTGTGCCCTTATACTACTATTGTATTTCTTCTGCATTATGAAACAGTAAAACCCATTGTAGTTGAAACCATGCAGCAGAGCAAAGACGTGCTGGAATCTGAGAGTTTTCTGCCTCTCCAAAAAGGCAAAAATGTCTCTCCTCTTTTTATTGCAGAGGGAGCTGATTATTCCAGAGTGATTCCTGAACCCCTACTGAGCGCAGCACCTCTACAGCAATTAACATTTTGACATGTTTGATCAATCACTCAGACTACAAAAGAAAAAAATAATAATTAAGTAAAGATTATTAGCCTGGATGCATTCAGTGTATTTGATCAGTGCAGTGCTGTTAGATCAAAGCATTGCACAAAACATGAAGAGCCGACATTGCAACATCTACCCAGCATCATGAAACAAAAGTGTGCTTCCTCAACTGAAAAAGATAAACATTATGCGGAGAGCAACCCCTCTGAGCTTTAAATGAACAATTCTGAAGTAGGTCAGTATTTGGGATTAAGGGAAGTCAACATTTTGCTGAGATGTTCCAAGCTGCTCTGTTAACTTGAGACTTGATTGAGCTTTACGTAAAAATACGATTCTATCTTTATTTATTATTTTTAATAAAATTCTGATTATGTACAGTACAGGGCAGGGTTCCTCAAATCTTGCCCTGGAGGGCCAATGCACTGCAGTTTAGCTCCAACCCTGATCAAACTCAGCTACCTGTGGTTTTCTAATGATCCTGAAGACATTGGTTAGCTTGCTCAGGTGTGTTTGATTAGGGTTAGAGCTAAACTCTGCAGGAAAGTGGATCTCGTGGGCCAGATTTGAGGATCCCTGGTATAGGGCATAGAACACCACTAAAATATAATTTTGCCTTTTCTAAAAACATCACTTTTTTCTTTCTTTCTTTTCGCAAATTACCAAAAAAAAAAAAAAAGAGAGAGAGAGAGAAAGTCAGTTTCTACATAACATTTATACTGGTTTTCCCCTACTGTTTCAACAGACTCCTCAGTTAACAAATCGAAACACAATTGGTGTTAAATGACTAGATTAAACAAACAGAATTTACCACCTGTGGTTGGGGAAAATTAGATGCTAGTGTTTCCGTGTAACATAATCAGCGTCCTACTGAGTGTTTTCCCGCTCATTACAATTTACCTTTTCAAGTGTACAGTACGTTAATTGCAAACATCTGGGACTGACAGTATCACACTTACCTTGTGTTTATGCTTTACTGGGATCGTGTTGCAGTCTATTTTGTTAATGTATTCTTTTTTTGAAAGTGTAATTTCTGTTAGATTCTAATTTGTGTTTCATTAAAAAGTGTTCACTTCATGACAAAGGCAGTCAGACGAGGTTGTTTTTTTTAACGCAGGACGAGGATGTTCCTTTGTCTGTGCTGCCCTATAGTGGTAATGCGTGGTATTGCAATGTATGTATTAAATTAGGTGGAGTGTGGAGCAAGGTCATTTGTTGGCTTTGCGTTTTTATACAGTGGGTTCAAAATTCCACATAAACATCTGGGATCCAAAATACCAACCACCTTTTTTTTTTTTTTTTTTAAAGTTCACATACATTACAAAAAAAAGTTGTGACATTCACTCTGTTAAAGCAAATGCATTAAAACAATTTTAACCTTCTTGCATTCTTATGGTACACTGACTTATAATAGAGCACATTTTTTTCACGCACCTCATAGACGTCTGTTTTGGGAGTGTAAGTGACCCACGTGCATGTGTACTAGTCACTGTAATTTCGACAGATAATTCCACTCACTTAACTGTTGTTGGGAGCTCCAAAGTCACAAAAGTACATGCAGTTAAGTCCTTAATTTAAAAAGATTAGATTTTTTTGCTTCTGTTAATTAGTAATTTGGGAGAAGATTTAAACTGATATTTTCACTATCACTTAATCACACTGAGTGCAATTGCACAGGCCGTGCACATCACGTTGCATATCGCGTTTGGTCTCGTTCTGTATCGCGTATCTTGGCAGTGTCTGCGCTTGCTTGGCCATTTGTTGCGGAGAAAATAAGGAAAGTGTGTTAAAGCGCCAGCAGAAAACAAGCTGTGTCCCAATTCAAAGGCTACGTCCTTCGAATGATGCGGTCTTTGAATTGGGACACAGCTACAGTGTAAAGAAATAGTCTTTGAGAGAAGCAGTCTTTATCAGCGGAAGTTAAAAGCAGCTCATAAGTGTATTTACTGGTCTCATTAGTGTTTAGTGCAGTTGTCGTTGCTAGGAAACGCTTGTTTTGTTTACTGTGTGGAGACGTGCTGATATCGCGTTTGGTCTCGTTCTGTATCGCGTATCTTGTCAGTGTCTGCGCTTGCTTGGCCATTTGTTGCGGAGAAAATAAGGAAAGTGTGTCCAGCTGAATTAATTTAGTATTTTGTTAGACGGGTATAAAAAAGCTTAGTTTACCGCGACAGCCGTCGCGTGACGGCCTCCTCGTGTGCAGACCGAAGAGTGTAAAGACCATCGACTCTACCGTGCGACTCCACCAGGCAGGGACACCGGCAAAGGATAAGTATCGCTTTTTATCTCTCCTCTTTCCTATTACTTGTTTCGCTTCTGTTTTAGTTTTTATACCCATTTCTTACTATGTGTAAGTAAGTTGTTGTTTTTTAGCATGCGTGTTTGGCAGTGGTTTTTTGATAAACTACTGTCATTTGATTTGTATTTTTTGTATTTGTTATTTATTTTAATTTTAGCTACATTATGTCTGAATTTATTATGTCTGTATAGGTCTTTAATTAAGTTTTTAGTTTTATTTTGTTGCGGAGAAAATAAGGAAAGTGTGTTAAAGCGCCAGCAGAAAACAAGCTGTGTCCCAATTCAAAGGCTACGTCCTTCGAATGATGCGGTCTTTGAATTGGGACACAGCTACAGTGTAAAGAAATAGTCTTTGAGAGAAGCAGTCTTTATCAGCGGAAGTTAAAAGCAGCTCGTAAGTGTATACGTGTGTGTGGTTGTACATACACATATGTAGTTGTTGTTTTATTTGGTGTTTGGCTTAGTGTTATGTTAGAATCATTATTATACTCTTATACCTTTTGTTCTTTAATATTTTGAATTGGTTTTAGCTTTATTTTTTGTTTTTCATTTAAATGTTAAGTTTTCAAATTGAGTTGTATGCATTTGTCATTTTTATTTAATCTCTTTATTTTTAAAATGTGTATAGGTAGTATTTATAACGTTTTAGCTTTTAGTTTTGGATCTGTTTTTAGTCGTTTTAATACTACAATTGATTGCTTCTGTTGTCCTGAATATGACTAAATAAAAAAATCACGACAACAAACAGTCAGTCAAAATGCTGTAATATCGTTTATTAAATATTGCATAATGAGGCAATCACAGCAGTAAATAGTGTTTTAAATTCATTGTAATTAACAGCACTGCAAATAAACAAAAACAAACAAACAAAAAAATGCTAAATTCGCCTCTGCATACAGATCACAAAGTAATAATTATACATTAAACATCTCAGGTGTTATCTCACACTCTTGAATAACTCATGTGATTGCGGTAACAAACTCAGTAATTGTCTCCTGTGACACACTAAAACGTACTTTTAAAAGTCCTTAAAAAGTAACGTGCTTACCTCAAGGCAAATAAAATAAAATAAAACGAGGCACAGTTCAATGAAGACATGAGACAGAAAGGCATTTCAATCCCAACATGTCAGAATCACTCGTTCAGTCATATGAGACGGCCTGTGTTACGCAAATCTCTGTGCTTTCCTAATATTCTTCATTTAATATAAACTGTAATATTCATAGAGGTTGCTGTAACTTCGATCACTTTCATTCATTTTACTTTACATATTTACAACTCTGACAGAATAGGAAAATTGAATTTCAACTGTTTCACAACATTCAGATATGCTACGCTATCTTATAACGGTTCGAAAGGCCAAAACATCATATTCAATAGAGATCACATGTATTTGAATTCCTTGTTGATCTTCTATGTGATTACTTCTTGACAAAGGTTTTAGCAACAACCACTGGTTTAAAAAATGAAAAATATATCATCTAGATACTTCAAATGACTCATTTCTGTCCAAATGATCTTTTGCTAATTCTCGTTTTGAATTGGACGGAAGGCTGGTAAGCGTAAGAGTCTCAGATGACCCTCATGCTCTCTAGCAGCACGTTCTCTGGCATTATATGGAATGGACCTTATAAAACTAAAGGGGAGATTCAAAAAGACACAATTTCATTTGAAGAAGAAATCCAAACATGTATCTTCAAATTTGCAATTCTACTTCTTAAAAGGAAGCAAAAGCAAATCTACAACCTGGAGTAGATGTGAACTACATTCAGTTAAGGAAGACCACAATCTAATCAATGGAGACTACCTAACTAAATGAACACAACTGTCCACATGTAGCATCCTCTACTGTGAATGGCACTTTGAAAATGAGGTACAGCAATCTTATATGGATCATCGTTTCCCAACATGCAATCATATTACCAGTCATAACACTGTAAATGTCACTGTCAAATGGTACCTGGGTTAAGATGTTATCAAGGCTTGTTATCAGAGGTAAATACTGCGCCTCAGACTCGTAATACACTCTTCAGAACAACCAATTCAAAAATGGATGACTGAAAAAACAAAATACGCACCACTTAGGAAAATAAATAGCCTATTTTGAGGCAAAGCATCTGTTTAGTGGGGTTTAGTTGTAGCCCTTCACCTCACTATATTACATAACGCTTAAAGCTTGATTGTTTTTTGTTACCAATTAAAAAGCTTGTTAGATCTGGAGTTTCTAGAGTCAGTCACTCCATCGTAATCTTATGAACAAAAATTTGGTAACATTTTACAATACGGTTTTATTTGTTAACAATAGTTGCTCATAGTTAGTTCATGTTAATGTATTAAAATAAATAATAATAATAATTTGTCACATTTATATAGCGCTTTTCTCTACATTCAGAGCACCAAGTTACTCTTTTCGTGGGACATCCTAGGATTTTTTTTTTTACACCCACACAAAGTCAGGACCTCGGTTTAATGTCTCATCCAATTAACAAATGTTAACAAATCAGACCTTACTGTAAAGTGTTGCCATAAATTTGTATGTCAGTATAATCTGAGAGTACAGTAAGTGCTGTGACGTTATCCTCCTTAACATGACCAAAACTGATTTACATAATTTTGATGTCTACAAATAGCTTTGCTTGGATTCGCAAATACTAATGTTTTTGTCTCAAACTTTGAGCCCTCATCGTAATAGAAATTTACATACTCTTTATGAAAGTATGATAAAAAAAAAGCTCCATAAATATGCATTTTTTACACAATGGGAGTGTAAATTGAAATTTAAACACTTTTCAAAATGGCTAAACCGAACTTCTGATCCTTTCACAGCTTCTCTGACCTGTAACCCTTAATACGGACACCTTCAGGTGCTTTCAATACACTGTCATCTCTAACAGTCACACTCAAAGTCCATCAAACTTTTATAGCAAAAATAAATAGTAGAATTTCATGTTTTTCAGTAATGTCAGGTATGCGATGAAGTTGTACAATTCGTAGCTGTAAACTTAAACACCTTTTCCAAGTCTGATATACTTCATATCAATGGCTTTTAGCGGAGTCTGAACATTTAAAAAAAGCTAAAACAATGTATTCTTCTAAATCCTTCAACAAATGCTGCCACTGTAGCACTGTTGAACTGCATGTTCTTCTCTGACATGCCGCACACCTTACTGACCACATACCTGGACATTCATCTGGGAAAGACCAAATTTTGGAGGGGAGAAATAGTCTTCATTTGACGTCAACTGGTAGAGTGTCCCAAACGGATCAGGCTGCTTAAGCATAGTGTTAGAATCTCTTCATACAAACCATAATTTCTTCAAAAGTATCATGTCACAAATTAACAGCTTTCACATAATTTCCTGGGAAAGTGCCGAACTGTTTTGTCCTCTTGGATGTACCTGCACAGAGAACCCAATGCATACATAAGAGTCTGGGTACAAATACAACTCGACAGAACTCTATAATCCTGGTTTAAAAATAGATTTAGTAGCACTGTAGTTTCATACAGTATATATATGGATTTAGTATGGGAAAGATGACTTAATGCAGAATCAATTCACTGATCAATGACACATACCCACAAACCAGCCATCATCACATTTCTCCATGACACTGACCAGGTCTCCTTCCTGCAGCTCCAACTCATCATCATTCTGAGGCATGTAATTGTACAAAGCCTGAAATCTACAGCAGAACACAACATGTCATTGGAAAGGGAGGGGGCAGGAAACGACTGCACAAATCACACTATTGACCAAATGTAAAGCCTTGTTTAGTCTTTCAGTTTAGTTGAAATAGAAATAAAACTTTATTTATAAAATTAAAGGGGTCATATGATGCTGCTAAAAAGAACATTATTTTGTGTAATGAAATGTCGACGAAGGAGTGGTCGGCGGGCTTACGGCAACCACATGTGACGACCCCGGGCTGGACTCCGCTTCGTCCACGGTGAAAGCTGATCCGGCAATGTATTTCCTCAGCGACCAGCAGGGATCAGCTCCAGCTTTCACAATGAATCACTTCACAACATGGCGGCGGCGGCAACAACAATACTACAGCGAGAATAAAAGTTACGCCTTCTTTCTTTGCGTGAACATTTGGGCGGTGTTATGCAAATCTTCCCACATCGTGACGTAGACATGTGGGGGCGTGTTAGAACGAGCCGTTTTAGGTAGGTGTGGTTGACTCTTAACTTTTATAAAGAATATCTCTTTGGATTTGAGACTTTAGTCTTTGCAACTTTACAGATCTTCTTTATGCACCAAGAGCTTGTAACACTTCAAAGAGAAAGAAAAAATTGAAATCGCATCATATGACCCCTTTAAAAAAAACACTGCACACAGTTTTGTCTGTCTGACACAGAGGGTTTTATAATGTCACAATGCACACTTGGCAGAGCACCATGGTAAGTAGAGTTCACTGTGCCTGCAATCAGACAGCTCATAAAATGTAGACATTCCACAGTTACATGAAATACAGTTATGTGTACTACATGAATGCTTAGATATATGCATAGATATCTACCTAAAACAAGGCTAAATTAATTTGTCATGTCACTAGCGTTTTTGTTCAATGTATTTATAACGTTACAAAAAACTCATTTGAAAAAGGCTGTTCTTTTGAACTTTCAACATCAACAAATCGTGAAAAAATGTATCACGGTTTTCACAAAAATAATAAGCAGCACAACTGTTTTCAACATTGATAAGAATAAATTGTTTTTGAGCACCAAATCAGTATATCCAAATGATTTCCAAAGGATCATGTGACACTAACACTGGAGTAATGATGCTAAAAATTCAGCTTTGCCATTACATGAGTAAATTACATTTTAAAATATATTAAAACAGAAAACTGTTATTTTAAATTGTAAGAATATTTCACAATATTACTGATTTTTTATAAAATAAAAAAAATAAAAATCAATTTCAATGCTTTTGAGTTCGCACAAAAAACTTGTGATGGAAATAATATGAGGTCATAGGAAACACTATATTTCACTGCTTTAGTGAGTGAAGATAACGTTTCTCAGGGGAACACAATAATTTTACAGAACACAAATGTTTTGCAAGAAAACACACAGGCATTGCAGATGAATGCAAATTAATACATAATTTTTCCTAGTATTTTTTCCATTACCATGTGCCCTTGGGGGCTCCGTACATAAGAGACTTCTTTTAAACGATTTTACTGACTCCAGACCTTTGAACGGTACTGTATATAATTTAAATAACTTAATTTCTTAAATTTAACAACTTCATGGTTTATAAAATAAATCACTTAGCTTCATAATTTCATTTTTTTTGCAAACTGTTGTTTCACCTAAGTTGCTACTTACACTTTTTTTCACTTACTAATCTAAAAAGTTTGCTTTAAATGGGAGCTTGAAGAAAAAAATAAATTTCATGGTCAAAAAGTATGACTTAAAGAATATATTTTAAAATTGACCGTTTAGCATAATTCAAAACTCTGATTTTTTAAAATGTGCAAATAAGGTTTACCAGTGCTCTTGTGAATTCCTGAGGGATGTCCTATATTTTTAAAGTGCAGGTCAGTGAAAACTACAGGTGCACGGACACAGAAACACTCTGAGGTAGATCATACTTACATCCCACAGCTCATGCGACCAGGCACAGGACTGCTGCTCTGGGACAGGGGTTGCTGGGAAATGATGAGAGAGTGTTTACTGGGAGGAGGCAGGAGTCGGTGGGCGGAGTCTATAGGGCGTGACAAAGTGCTGCAGTACCTCACTGAGGTCTCTGCAATATTCATGATCTCATTACACACTGCCTCCTATTGGTGGAAGAGGGTCGGCCCAAGAGGTGGCCACAAGCCAGGAAGTGGGGTCAGTCATTCAGATGAAAAATTGAGTTTGAGGAAAGGGCGGTGTGGTTAGAGAAGACAGTAACAGGGCAGAAAGAAGGGAATGTCCATTAATACCAGGAAAGCCGGAAAGGATGGTAGTGTCCAGAGGATAAGCATGAAAGAGTAAGACAAACAGTGAGTGCAAGTGGAAGGAGAGGAGCATACGCCACAATCATATAGGACAGGCTTACTTGCAGGGTACGGAGATTTGTCATGCATTACATGGGCGAGTTTAAGGATTAGATATCACATAAAATTAAACATTGAGATGAGCCTTGTGATTGACTGATGTGTATCATAAGGACCAATCAATACAGAATATGAAATAGCTCATATTCATCATTCATATTCATTCAACAGAAACAAGTATGTGTAAAAAGCAGTATGTGCATTTAAGAGTAATTGTGACTTCATGAAAGTTAATTTACCGTGAATGAATTGGCATTCATGTTGTTGTCTTGAATGTCAAACAGCATGACAGGACTTCTTGAAGATCGCCCGTAATATTCTACATCATTTCTTAATGGCTGTAAAAAAAAAAAATTTTAAAAAAAGAACGAATCAAATTATCTGCCTTTTTCAAAGCATATACCATATATGTCTGCGCACAACGATTCATGCTCATCCATGAGGTTTGGATTCAAATTTGAAATTTGCACAAACAGCAGTACGGTTGCCACTTGATCAGTCCATTATTATTTGCAGAGGACTGCAGTACAACCTTACAGTACATCAAACAGATAAAGGACTGGAATAAGACTGTGAGTTAGTAGCAGTCACCACATTTCCTATGAAACTTCAGTCAAACATTAAAACAGCGTGACATCATGCAGGGATGCTCCCTCTAGTGGAAATAGTCCTTAGGATAGCTTATATTTCTAGTGTATGTAGCTCGGTAGTCAGTAAGACTTTTATTGTTTTTTAAATAAATCTATTATGCTCACCAAGCATTTTAATTTAAATTTTCACTTTAAAATAACTAGGCCTACTTCTGTTTCCATATCTTTTAAAATGTAATTTATTCATGTGATGGCAAAGCAGAATTGATTTAAAATAGAAATCTTTTGTAACAGTGTCACATTTTGTCAATTTAAATCAATTTAATGCCTCCTTGCTCAATAAAAATATTAATTTCTTTTAAAAGAAATTAAATTCATACGGACCACAAACTGTATAGCAGTGTACAGTTGAACACAACTTTTTATAACCAAATACATATTTGTCATTTGAACGCAGCTACAAAATACAAGAGTTCTTCGAACAATTACACAGAATTAACCAACTACTATTAATATAAATCAGGGCTGTTGATCAATATTTTTTTCTGATTAATTGCATTATATGCTTAATCAAATCAATCACAATTAATTACATATATCAACATTTGCTAAAAAAAACAAAAAACAGCCTCAAAATACATAATTAAATAGACAAATACAGAAAGTGCCTTCAGAAATCAAAATATTATTTGTTATTATCAAAGAATTTAACCCTTTCACTCGCCTGACAATCCTTTTTCCAATCTAAATCTTCAATCTGCCATTAGATTTAGGGGTCCTTGTTTCATTTTAATGCGCACACTCTATAGATTTGTATCAGACATGCATGATTTCATAATAGGAAACATAAACAAAAAATATCAACATCCAAGCTTCATGCTAATCATGTTAGAGGTACATGCAGCAGTTCCTTTTCATCTGTGTTTCTCTCAATAGCGTGGAAGCCTCAAATGTGTGATTGAAACTCACTAGCACAACCAGAAGGGTCAGATATAATTTCCTATTTCAGCATGTTAGATCTACAACTCGTGCCGATGTAAACAGTGACCTCCCTTGAGCTTAGGCACCATATGATGGGCACCTTTAACAAACACACCACACCATGCAGAAGATACCTCTGCTGGACTATTGTTCCTGCTGTAAGGAGCCTTGCGGAGGCTGCCAGCCCTGTCTATTTCAGCCCCATCCCCTTCCTGAAACTCCTGATCCAGCCTGTTGCCCCCAGTAAGCCAACCCTCAAGCCCAGCACCCCCACAGGGACTCAGGCTGCGGGACAGGCGGGGAGAGGGTGGAGAAAGAAGGAAGTTCTCGCCTTGAGGTGGAGTGAAGGTGAGGAACGGGGTGGCCGAGCAGGGGCGGGGCGGATAGGGTGGAGGTAAAGGAGATGTGGAGGGAGAAGCCATCCTTGAGGTGGAGTGAAGGTGAGGAACGGGGTGGCCGAGCAAGGGCGGGGCGGATAGGGCGGGGGTAAAGGAGATGTGGAGGGAGAAGCCATCGGGGAGACGCAGAAGGGGCTGCCGCTGATGGGAGGCACAGGACTGGCTGACATGGAAGGGGGCAGATATCAAATGGGCTTTTTGGAGTGCAAGGCCGGGTGTCAGAAGAAATGAGAGGAAACAATAAAGAGGAAGGAGGAAATGGAAAGGTGAAACAGTGAGAACCACTATACGAGATAATGAATAAACAAAAACAAATGGGAAAATGAAAACAGTGAGTTGAAAGAAAATGATCCAAGGGCCACGACTATTGTCAGGTTTTTACCTGTGGAGAGGCATTAGTGCTCCGGTGAGGTGACTGGCTGATAGGGGGATCAGGGTAGTCCACTCCATTTTTCACTCGGGGTCTCTTGTGCACCTCTATGTAGGTGAGGGGGAAGATGCCCTGCCGGTTAGTGCCAGAAATTTTGCCTTCATACCAGTTCTCATCTACTCTGCGAATCAGTGTAATACGCTCCCCCTACAGGCAGACAAAAGATTTTGAATGAGTTCCTGCAGACATGACACAAACAACACACACTCATTTATTTATGTATTTATTTTTCTTTTATATATATTTATTTATATATGTGACCCAGGACCACAAAACCAGTCATAAGTCACATGGGTATATTTGTAGCAATAGCCAACAATACATTGTAAGGGTCAAAATTATTGATTTACAAGATTTTTCTTTTATGCCAAAAATCATTAGGATATTAAGTAAAGATCATGTTCCATTAAGATATTTTGTAAATTTCCTACCGAAAATATATAAAAATTGAATTTTTGATTAGTAATATGCATTGCTAAGAACTTCATTTGGACAACTTTAAAGGCGATTTTGTCAATATTTAGATTTTTTTGCACCCTCAGATTCCAGATTTTCAAGCCAAGTCATTTCAAAGTCAAATATTGTCCTGTCCTAACAAAACCAAATGGAAAGCTTATTTATTCAGCTTTCAGATTATCTATATATCTCAATTTTAAAAAAATTGACCCTTATGACTGATTTTGTGGTCCACGGTCACATATATCGTTCAAAAGTTTGGGGTTAGTAAGAAAGTTATACTTTAACTGCAAGTTCTCTGCAAGGATGCATTAAATTGATAAAAATTGACAGTAACGACATTTATGATTTTACAGATTTATATTTCAAATAATTTCTGTTCTTTGAACTTTCTAGTTAAAGTTTTTTGAATATAATGAAAATAAATAATCACTGTTTCCTCACAAAAATATTAAGCAGCACAACTGTTTACAGCATTGATAATAATAAAAAATGTTTCTTGAGCACTTCTTTCAAAAACATTTCAAATTCTTACCGACCCCAAACGTTTGAATGGTAGTGTATATGTATATAAATCATCATCAGTTAACACACACACACGTTTGAAATGGTGTGACTGCAGTGTTCTTAGATATTTCAGTAGAACAGTCATTTTTACCTGTAATAAAGTCTGCAAGGTAAAGTAAATGCTGTGACTCAACATTCATATATAATAATCTTCTTTCTGAATTGCTTATGGTCACTGCTGTCTCTGTATAGCACATTTTATTCAGCTGGCTGGTGATAAATCTGTCCTGAATGTTTGGCTTAATTTGCAGTGGAAAAATTAAAAATGATCTTCATTTATTTTTATTTTTCCTCTTCCATAACATGTTTCTGAAAGCTTTCTGCTCAGCTTGTTTCATCACACTTTAAGTGTGTTTGGCTTCACATTCCGCTCATAAGTAAATAATAGTAAATAATAATAGAATATATGACGTTGAAGGATTACTCCACGAGGTAGTTTTCTAAACAAAGCAACTAAATAAAACGTATACATATAATACTAATCTCTCTAGCTCTTCTCACTCGATATCAGTAGTGGTACAGTATGTGTGGTTAAGGTTGCCGACCCCTAGACTAAAGCGTAAGCTTCATTAAATTAATTAAACAATACCTTTCTGAAAGACATTTCAACAGCAGTGTCACCAGTGAAATTGAACCGAGCAATAGCCTCTCCATATTCCAACACCTGGACCGGAGCACTCTTTTTGGGCTGAGCCTTTTCTGTAGGGGGCAAGATCTGGAGAAACAGCATAACAGACGAGAAGTTACTGCACACTCTGAAACTCTATGAATAAAAAACATAATACTAAAGGATAAAGAAAATGTACCTCAATGTAGTTACGCGGAAAAATCCCAACTCTCCCATGATGCTCTCCCTCAAACCAGTTCTGATCAACCTGCCGGTAGATGTATACAATATCTCCCTTTTGAAATGGTAGTTCCCTGATAAAGGGGAAGTAAAATGTGGTTAGATTTGTGATGTAGTATTCTAAATTTGACATGCTGTTATTAACAAACACTTATTATGATCTTATTAACATCCTTAGATCTGAATTGTGAGACACTTACTTTAAACTTTCTGCTCTGAAGTCAAATCGAGCCAGAGCAGGAGTCCTCTGCAAACAACAACAGGCCATTAGCATTATTTAACAGTACTGCATCCAGTACAGCAACTCTCTTTGTTTCACAAAAAGACAGGAAGCATCAAACAATATCCTTGTTAAAGCATAAAACAGAAGATATGTCACCTCTATGGTTTTTCTCTTCTCTTTCTCATTAATAACCAGCAGGTCGCCGAAGCGGTCATTAGTAATGAACTGTTGATGAGTCACAACCAGCCCAGCATGTCTCCGAGCAGCTGTGTCTGCCTCTTCCTGCTCTCGCTTTAAACGTCTCTGCTCTTCCAGAATTTTCTTTAAAAAGAAACAGGCATTTAATTCATAAAGAGAGGGGTTTATGCCTATTATAGATTTACCACATTGTATAGCAGCAAAATAAGTCTCCATAAAACATGCTTTAAAATCCACATGTCCATCATTATCAATATATATACAGTAGTATGTATTCTTAAACTACTTAAAACCCTGAATGTAAAATTAACTAAATTTATATAAAATAGAATTTAAAAATTCTTTATCGTTTATTTTTTTTATATTTTCCAGGTAAAAATGTCACCCTTAATGCATCCTTAAAACAAGATACATTTATAAAATAGTGTAAAATAAGATGTTTTTTAGAGAAAATATTTTGAATCTTTTTTTTTTTTTTTTACTGTTTTATGATCAAACCTCAATAATTTTGTCATTGGGGAAGGCAATTCTACTTAATTTCAAGATATACTCTTTAAAAACAAGTCATATTTTCAATGTTCTTTCACAAACAAAATGATCTTGTTTTAAGGATGTTTACATGTTGTTCATGGAAAAAAACAAACATACTGATTAAGAAAATGATTTGTTTGTGTCAAAACAAATGGCACCTCTTTATCTCCGTAGCGTTTCCGGACTGCCTCGTCTGAGTTTTCTCCATGATCTCCTTGGCTTAATGGATGTGAGGAATCGGATTCTGTTTGAAGAAACACAGGATTCACTTTCTGTTGCCATGATAAACAAAATTACACAAAGAAAGAGTAAGTGCCATGATTCAAATCTGTCTTGGCTCAAGCATTGCACAACACTTCATATTTCTGAAATGCCCATTTATACAGTGTTTTAAAAGAGTCTATGAGGATGATATAGACACTCTGGAGAGAACACAAATACAGCAAAAGAAGGTAAATAAAATACATATCTAAATTACATGAAAATACAATGGCTTACACATCTTACAGTTTAAAATTACAATAGTTTATTAATCTATGTATTTTGAGATCTGCAGGATAAGCATAAGCCATGGTCTGTCAAAATAAAAGGATGCATGCATCGGGAAAAAAAGTATGGTAAAAATACACAACATTCAGACATCGTTTTAAAAGAATGTCTAGTGTAATATGTATAATGCAGTTTTGAAAATCAAAACTTAAGACACAAACATGTAATTATAAACAAGTAAAAAATAAACTGGTCCAGACCCTTAAACGGAGTGAAAACAGACTCATGCTAGGGTTACACTATTTTGTGGAATATGACTTTTTTTTTATTTCAGGTCAAATCTATGAAGCTGTAATTTACAAGGCTTTGCAGTAAGATAAAATTCCTATGCGTAAGAAACACTTTTAAATGCCTATTTAATGTACATACTGCATCTGTTCAGGAATAACATGGGAGGCCTGAGTATTTTCTCAGGCTGACAAGAAGCTAAATTACAAGTGGGTGAATCCACGCCAAAAGTCCTCCCAGTTTTCAACTCTTATCATTATTCTATGGAAGGATGAAAACAGAATTTCTGATATGCAGTAATACATGATAATGGATCATAGTAAGGCACATAATAAGTATTCTGTAACTTCTAAAAAATGATGGGGATATAGAGACTGATGCAGATTCTATCATTGTAATCTGACTGGAGAATAGAGTGCAACAGTCATTTTACACATGTAAAAATTTGGTAACACTTTACAATAAGGTTCCAATAGTTAACATTAGTTAATGTATTAACTAACATGAACAAACAATGAACAATACAATAATAGTTCATGTTAATTCACAGTGCATTAACTAATATTAACAAACACAAATTTTCATTTTAATAATGTATAGTATAGTATAGTATATATTTATTTAATGCCAAAAAAGTATAACATCACTTTAATAAAGCATTAGTAAATGTTGAAATTAACATTACTGAAGATTAATAAATGCTGTACAAGTAGTTCATTCTTAGTTCATGTCAACTAAAGTAGTTAACTAATGTTAACGAATTAACCTTATTGTAGTGTTATAATCTATGACTATATGTCAAAGTTTTATATTATACTACTGTTTATGATTCGATTACATAATTCTCAATGTTTCATGGGATGCATAGATCATTCCCTCACAAAACAACTTAAGTACAGTCTTGTCATTTTGTCAATTTCAAATACATTTTTGCTTAAAAATGACTTATAACTGAAATGACTTATAAAAAAAATAACTTAAACTTTATTGAAGAATGTTTTGAAATCCCTTTGGAAAAACAATTCTGGAAACAAGGCAGCTGAAAAAAAGAGTCAATCACTGTTGCGCTCTCTAGGGTTGTACTTTTGGAGACTACACTATGATAGGCTCTTTTTAAAGTCTGGTCTTGGTTTATTGCTAATTCTGGATCATATGTTAAAAAGGTAACGAAAAAAGTGGAAGTCTGAGAATAAAAAAAAAGTGACGACACTTTTACACTACACAACAGAAATGGATAATATGCCAATATGGTTACAAACCACACAAAGTCGGCACACGGCAGAAATGGAAAAAGTAAAGTCACTCGGTGATAGCAGACAGGAGAAAGAAAGGCTGGAGGAAGATGAGTGATCACAGACATTGTCATGCCCGAACATGAGTGTGGACAATCTGACACTCATGACACTCTCAATATAGCCACCTTCAGAGTGATCTTTACTGGCTTCTGAGCCCTCCACATCCATGAGGTCATCCGAGTTGCACCCCTCACAGGGAGAGCTCTCTCCATTACTGAGCCTCTCCAGCACCTCCAAAGAGGACAGGCGCTGGGGAATCAAAGGCTTCAGCTTGGCCGAGATGACATCTCCCGTCATGGGCTTCATGGCAGAGAGAGCGCAAGTCTTTTTGGCCTGTTGACTGTGTAGGGACCTCCGTAAGGAGAAAGGCGCTGGTCCCATCAGAAGCAAGTTCCTGGGGGGAGTGCACTTCTTCTCCTGCTGGGTGTTGGCCTGTTGGCGCTCGTGCCTGAGGATTGTGGTGAAACGTGTGTAGGAAGCCGGGCAGGTGCCTTTACACTTGCTTTGTTTGGTGTGGAAGGGGAAGTGATCGTGGTGATGGTGACCTGTGGGTTCTGAGGTACCGCCGGATGGCGTCTCTTTGGCAGGATCATGAATGCAACTGTTTTTCTCTTCCGATTTGCCCTCATTTAGATCCAATGGGAAGTCAGTTCTTGAGGTGTTTGGGCACTCGTCCGATACAGAAGCTTCCTCTTTGGGGGTCTGGGCCTCTGTATTCATGGCTGGACAGTCCTCAGTGTTTGCAGGCCCTGGCAAGACTAGAGTCTCAGCTGACAGAGCAGACTGGAGGAAGCAGGTCGGTGTAGGGCTGTGGGAAGGACTTGGGTTACTAGGGAGTATGGGCATCGAGGCGGATCGAGTGGGCGCAGAGTTCGAACGCTGAATGATACGCTCAAACTCCATCACCCGAAACGTGACAGCATCCCGGGGGATGATCTCAGTCCTCTCCAGGGTAATGTCGTCCACCGGCTTCTCAAAAAAGGAAGCCAGGCAACGGACACTACCGTGGGGGCTGGAGCCCAGGGAGCTCGGCCTCTGAATGTTGTGCATGTTCCGATAGAGGGTGGAAAACTCGGTCGTGCTCCTCACAGATCCCACAGCAGGTCCATTTTTATGCAGGTTCCTGCTCTCAGGTGAACTGTGGCACTTGCAAGCTGAATTTAACCTGTGATCGGCGTCTGTCGTATCTCCATTGCGTGAGCCACAAGCCTCGTGATGCAGATCCTCGCAGCTGTGTGCTTTAGGCCGCTGCTGTGTCGGCTCCGTCCGTCTTTCCAGGCTCTCATCGGTAGAGGCCGATAGCTTGGGTTTAAACTTGGAGGGAAGGATTTGAGGGATGCAGGCTTTGGCAGCAGACAAGGACTTTTTAGTCTTATTTTGAGAAGCTAGTGCATTAGTGGCAAGAACTGAGTGAGTATTTACAGAAGAGCAGGGTGAAATCATACAGCCATTCCCACCTTTATAATCCACTGGCAGGCATGCAGGGTAACAGAACAAACAGTGTATTAGATTACACTCATAACAAGCAAAGACAGTACCACACAACTGGCAAATAATGAAAGAAATGTCACATCAATTTTCGAAATAAATATTCAAAACAAGGATATTTTGTCAGTACAACTTATCAAGAGCATTCAAAAAGGTTCTACTCTGAATTTAATTATGTAAAGCCTGAGGGTAATACATTGTTTTTTTTCCCCCCAAACCAGTTAACTGCAAAAACTAAAAAGATGTCAATCACAGAGCTGACTATCTACACAACACTGAAACAAATACTAACCCCTAACAAAGCAAAATAACTTAAACATTACTTACACTAAAACAAACAGCATGTAAAAGTAGATTTTGTTCAGACTATTTTATAGTGCTGATTCATATCAGATTTGTTTTGTAGATCATTAATAAATCATATAACAACTAGAGACTTCTTGCAAACTGCAAAACAAAACCAAAATGTTCAATGAGAAAGGCTTCAATGTATCATAGTTTAAATGACATAATTAAGTGCTAGTATAGTAAAATAAAGAAAAGTAATTATTTCTGTTAACTTACAATTGCCAATGAATTGAAATACCACAAATCTGCCAACTGGAACATCTCTTGCAGCATACATGTGACTCCCTTGGAAATACATGCATGTGACCGGCTCAATAACTCTTTTATGTTTAAAAACTGTTTTAGAGACATACTGTATACACAAAGACAGGGTGTCTAAAATTTATTTAGCATTTACTCTACTTCTGTTTTGACTTACAGTAAGTTCCTCAGTCCAACCAAATGCATCATTCGTTTCCTCTTGCCAAGGTTTGTCCAAATGTGCCAATATGATTTTCCCTTTGACCTCTCACAGGCTCCCCAAACCGCACCAAGACAGGCACTTACTCCCAATGTGGCCATAAACTCATGTAAGCGCTACTTGAGTGCTCCACAAGTCTTGGGATTTCTCACCAAAGAAACCTCAAGTGTGCTGTGAAGTTACCAACTGCTCTCCACAGGAATTACAGCCAGAATGTTAATAGATATTTACAGTACATTGAAAACGTTGCAAGCCAGATTCAAACACCACAGCTCAATAGTTTCAATGTGTAATTCATTTTTGTCTTGATTTCTTTATACTCGATTATGAATTAGAAACATATCTTTATGAAGTGTCACACATGACTCAACGACAAGATACATGACTGCATTGTATGTTCTGTATTCAAAACATGTTGTCTTGGAAATTCAAAGCAGACAGAACCAAGAGTTCATAAAAGATCTTCATACAGTGATCAACAAAGCCCCTGTCTAAACATGTGGGTTGTGTTAACTATTAACGGATACAGTCATCATCTTCAACCCTTTTCGACTCGAGCGGCCCATCCTCTGGGTCAAATGTGCTAGCATTCCATTCATGACCTCACTCTGACAGCTGACCCCTCATACCTGACCACCCCTGAACATGCTGCATGTTTATCTCGTCTGCAGGGTGAGTGTCTACCATCAAATCCACCTATTAATCTCTACGTCTATCCCCTTTCCTCCCTGTCCACACCATGGCCCATTTCTAAAGCAGTTGGACACCCAACTGAGCCGAACCTCATGGGCTCATTCTGTCTAACAGACCGGTGTGGAGAGAATGACTAAAGGTCAAACTGGACATCTGCTATGTTTCAACTGTGAAAAATGGCCAGCTTTAACAAAACACAGAAAGACAAATGAGCTGTGTTATTTGTGTGGTATCGTGAAGGAAGGAAGGAATGTGGAAAATGCTGATGAAAAAGGGCTCAACGGGCAACAAATGGATCGGCTTTACAATAGCGCGGTGTGATTTCGATTATGAATCCTTAAATCAAAATCATTTAAAACCTGAATAACATTTGAATCTCAATAAACGTAAGTAAAACAGCCTGGAAGCCTACCTTTAGAAGAAGTGCTGGGGTGACGCTTGTTAAGCGCTCTCAGGCCCTGCAGTGGGATGTCGCCACCCTCCAGGACACTCTTGTAAATGTGCCGATCACATTCCGGAGCTGCCTGCCCACTGGCAGACAAGCTGTCCTTCTTCTCCACTTCACCGTTGCCTGCTTTACAGGCTGAGCTGGGCACAAATAGAGATATGAGGCTCACATAAACTATCATCTTCACGCGACATGTCTGAATAGAACAGAATGCTAGTGCCACGTTTACTCTATATGAAAAGAAAATGCTTATTATTAAAAGCAGATATAGAAAACAGAAATAGAAAAAATAGAAATGTGAAATAGAAAAACTATAGAAATACTAGAATATCATAAAATCTAAAAAAAAATAAGACAAATTTGCCATGGATTATATTTGAACACTGCACTGAAGATTTATTTTAGCACACTTTCTAAACCTGCTCACATTTTTTTTTTTAAATAGTAAAAATAGTACATGTTTTATGTATGGTTTATGTGTGGTTTAATTTGCGAAATACTCGCATTATTTTACAAATGATTGAAACTAAAACTAAAAAAAATGAAAACATTATTATTATTATTATTATATGCTTCAAATGAATAAATATTCACATTATTTTACAAATAAAAAATAAATAAATAGAATGAATTCCTGACTGAAAAATATATGAATATTAATTTTACTTGTAATGTAGGCCAAACAATTTAAAATATTCAGAGAAGTTTTTAGCCAGCTTGTGTTTGCTCTTTGATATAGATGAGACAGCACCAGCTGCTCTGGCCCTTATCACAACATTCCTCAGAAGCCTGTGTGGCATCCTTTAAAAAACATATTTGAAGCTTTCCATATGTTGAAGTTAGTCATATAAACCTACAGTATGTGCTTACAGGAAACCGTACAGAAGTTTTTAGGGATGCACAACTTTAATAAGTTGTCTTGTGTCAGGTCTTCCCATATAATGGGCTGTAGTCAGGCTGTATCATTTTTACATGTTGGTATAAGAAAAACTGAAGTATATCATGCTTACTTATCGAATATGTCACTATTCTGTATGCAATAAAGTAATAAAACGGCCTGTCTAGAGTTCAGTAAGGTCTTGTTATTTTTCACCAGACTATTCTCTGCTGAAAAATAAAAATGTATGATGGTCTTAGTTGGTTTAAATTGGTCTATTTAGTCTCACAGTCTGATCAGCTTTCAAGTGCTCAAAACCCTAAACCAGACCAGCCTGACTGTCTAAAAAAGACCTTAAATTGTTTTTTCAGCAGGGTTAACACAACAGACTCTCGTGGGCTACATGCTACGTGATTTGGGAGGGAATCTTAACCATGACAAGGATTTTAAATGCACAGACAATGGTCCTACAGATCGGCAGCTCTGTTTCGAGAGAATCATATTAACAGTTACTACTCAACATGCCAATGAAATCCTAAGGGCCCTAGCATACTTTCCTACTTTTTCATAGTTGGAAACAATAAAATACCCATTATTCAACAAAAATGATGTGTGCGAACAACGACTGTTCTTGTGACTCCAGCTTTATGAATTATTCCATCATACTGTACACATAATAAAGTCTCCATGAATGAGATCACTCCAGGGATGTATCGGATGCTTTCCGCTGGAGAAGTGTGAGATGAACACAAGTCATTCCAGACACCACTGGCTCCAAACTCAGGAACCTGAGCAGCTGCCTGACAACTGCTGGAGCGGTTTTAATTTTACCATTAGTAAAGCTGAGTAAAGTATTTTCATGCTGTTCGGCTCCTTTTCAAGGATCTGTTAGCCATAAAGCAGAACTATGTTTCTCTCAGGGTTACACTTACACAGGGTTCATCTCTCACACATTCTTCAAGTCATGAGAGCATATTTTCGGTTTAGTGTTTTGGCTGAACACTAGTTGGCCTCCTGGTTTATAACTGAACCATGTGGCTTTTGATAAAACAATAAACTCCACATCGAAACCTCAAAAAGATCCACACACCAAAGAGAAGACTGTTTGGCTAAAACCATGTGCCAGAGATTCTTAAGAGAAATGTAAATACCACAAAAGATTCATTCATTCGTATGTTTTACCGTTACAGTTTTGGCGAAGGAAGCAAAGAAAAATGTTAAACTGTTTTAACTAATGAATATGTTTACTGTTCAAATCCCCAGTTATTTTTTAAAGAATGCTTTTAAAGAAAGCTTACATGACATTAAATTGATTGTATTTTGGTTGGGCATGCTTTAGATAATACTTCAGATGTTTTTCCCGCAAATATTCACATTAAGAATAAGCACATCAAAATATTTGGAGAACTCTGTAACTTCAAGCTTCAAAATCATTCAAAAAAGAAAGAAAATGAATAAGGAAATAAGAAATAAATAAGCTAAATAAATAAAGGTAAAATAATCATAATAAAAAAAAAAATTCTTCTATGTTTACACTATTTTTTATATCCCTTCCTGTTCTAGCTTGTACTATTCTGAATTTTTTTAGTAAACAATGCTTTGGATAACTGTATGCTAAATGAATAAATGTTTTCTATGTAAATTAAGTTATTTTACAATTATATAATTCATAAAATTAATGATTAAAGTTATTAATAAATTTTTTAAAACATGTTCAAATGTAAAATTTAAAAAATCATCTTAAAAGCATCATTTAAAGACATAATATTAATATTAAAGACATAATAAAGACACAATATTGCTGTTGTGAAGGCGTTTTTAAGTAAATTCCCCATTTCAGGGAAATATGTCAATAAAAAAAATGACACTTCACTTTCACAAACAGCACATTAAGATTTGGGGGATTTCTCCTAACAGAATGGGTGGAGGTACAAGGCCCCTTATCTCTCGTAAAAAGACATCCAGGCTTTATTTTCAGACACTAGTTTCAGCACGAAACAAATCATCACACTATCCAATGCCTCTCCTCCAACGAGCCCCCTCCACGAACGCACGCACACATGCACGCAAAAATACATCACACGAACACATACAGCCTGTATTGCAAATGGTCGTTCAGGAAAGAGAAGAAAGGAAACGAGGGAAATCTCCAGAGCCCCGTGACAGCTCTGCCTGAGAATAGATGGCTGGAGAGCGAGACAGACACACAAATACACCCACATACAACAAGGGCGTCAGAAAATGGTGGAGAGAAACATTTGTGAGGGAAAAAAGGAACATGGACTTACTATTGCTGAAGGTCGGAAGATGTTTCCAAGGGGCTGAAAGAGGGGGCACTCTGCAACAAACCAAACAAAGAAGTCATTGATAGCTCCAAAGGCTTGACTCTCTGGCAGCTGGAAAGGGAGAAGGCGCATTAGTCAGTCAGGCTTGCGAACGTCAAGGGCTCTGAAACTCTTAGGTCCTCAGGACGAAGCCGAGCGTGGAGAAGTAAGCAAGTATTTTGGCCTGCATGCAAGTTAGGGGGGGAAAACAAGCGACTGGGAGCGAGGGGTGGGATTAGCAGGGGCTGTGAGGGGCGCCCATTTTGGGAGGGGGCTGTCAGTGCTTCCACCAATCAGCTGCTGTCTCTCACCGAGGCTCTCTTTTGTCTTCTATTGAGTCACTCTCATTACTGGCCGGCCAGACAGGGAGACAATTAACCAGCTGGTGCGGGAAGCAGGCCAAATTACATGGGCAGACACACACACAAATAGATTTACACATATATTAAGAATATCACGAGTGTCGGATCGAACATGCTGTACAAAAATCACAGGGCGATATTAAAGATTTGTGGGATTTCTCCTAACAGAATGGGTGGAGGTACAAGGTCCCTTATCTCTCGTAAAAAGACATCCAGGCTTTATTTTCAGACACTAGTTTCAGCACGAAACAAATCATCACACTATCCAATGCCTCTCCTCCAACGAGCCCCCTCCACGAACGCACGCACACATGCACGCAAAAATACATCACACGAACACATACAGCCTGTATTGCAAATGGTCGTTCAGGAAAGAGAAGAAAGGAAACGAGGGAAATCTCCAGAGCCCCGTGACAGCTCTGCCTGAGAATAGATGGCTGGAGAGCGAGACA